GATTCAAGAGGAACAATGCGGTTTTCGTCCTGGACGTGGAACACTGGACCAGCTCTATACCCTCCACAGGGTGCTTGAGGGTTCATGGGAGTTTGCCCAACCGGTCCACATGTGTTTTGTGGACTTGGAAAAGGCTTTCGACCGTGTCCCTCATGGTATTCTGTGGGGGGTGCTCCGAGAGTATGGGGTTGGGGGCCCTCTTCTAAGGGCTGTCCGGTCCCTGTACGATCGGAGTAGGAGCTTGGTTCGCATTGCCGGCAGTAAGTCGGACCTGTTCCCGGTGCATGTTGGACTACGGCAGAGCTGCCCTTTGTCACCGGTTCTGTTCATTTTCTTTATGGACAGAATTTCTAGGCGCAGCCAGGTGTGGGGTGGGGTCCAGTTCGGGAGCCACCGGATTTCATCTCTGCTTTTTGCGGATGATGTCTTATTGGCCTCTTCGAACCAGGACCTGCAGCACGCACTGGGGCAGTTTGCAGTCGAGTGTAAAGCCGCTGGGATGAGAATTAGCACCTCTAAACCCGAGGCCATGGTTCTCAAGGCCAAGGCCCCACCTAGCAGGGTGGAGCTGAAGTAGATTTATTCTTTCTCACCTAGAGTATGTATTTGCTGTACTCCCAACCACCAGTTAGAAGTGAAGAAGCCTCTTGGATTAGAGGTGAAACGTCTTCTTTTAGAAAACTCACGTCCAGTTGCCTAACAGAACTTTTTAAACCAGTGGTGTATTTAATTAATTGTTCTTTATTAAAGGAGAGCTGTGGACACGTGGCAGAAGTTATTGTATTTGATCCATGTTTGTAAACAGCAAACAAAATATCCCAGCATATTTGACCTAGATCTATTACCCTTAGTCATATTGACTAGCTTATCTGGGTCAGCATGTCACTCCTCCAAAAATAAAACCCCATTCCTCTCAACCCCAGACCAGCTAACATTATCCAGATGATGTGTCTATATAAAACCAACCAACAACCCTTAGATTTAACAAAGCCTTTATTTAATTTTAAAATAGAGTACAATGCATCATACATCATACAGAACTGCATATCTATATGTTTACCAAGCACACATGATTGACCTACTCTAGACAGCTCAACACAAACTATTCTTGCCCAGCTGTAACATGAGAGCAGCAGGTCTTGTTGCAGGGTAGATGCATGGAATGGAGAGTGGTCTCATGACTGTTTGCTTTGTCACAGCACTCCATTTATTGGGTGAGGAAAGGTAGAGATACTTGGTCAAGGTAAACTTGTTTCCAAAATCTGCATGAAAAACAATAATAAATTGTCAGTTAATCAATAGTGCCAGCATTACATTTTGCAGTGCCCTGTGGAGGGGACGGGAGGTAGGGTTAGTGTTAGGGTTGGGGGGTCTAGACAAATATAAATTATCTTTCCAATAAACTATGCACTAAAGAGAACTAAAAGAAATTGTTTTTGTCTTTGCTGCAGTCCTGTGGTAGTCATGTGTAGTCCTATAAGCCCTGTGGTTGTAATTAAAGTCTATGTTTATGTGAAAACACACTCCTCCAGTGTTCATTACAACGGGGGGGAGGGGCGTATTTTTGTCTTCTATGGCTAAAACGTACGAACACGACATCTATAAAGATTAAGAGCAAGACATGTTTAAAATTATCCTCGCAAAGATTGGATTTTCACTTTACATTCATAACGTATAGGGCTATACTCGTTACAATAAGAGCCAGCTGTTTACCTTCATTTACAAAGGTGCTCATATGAGTAAGTCACGGTTTTAAACACAGATTGGACGTTAACAATGTAAGTATTACCCGTAATAACCGTTGACAGCCATCAAGAAGAAGCGCTTTTTGTTCTTCTGCGTTTCACCTCACTGTTATGATATTTTTCTGCTATTTTCCTCTCGTGTCCTGCTGGACAATGGCGATTCGTGTTCATCTCCACCTCCCTCTTGCTTCTGCCTTTTCCAGCAGCGTTGCAGGGATATTCGAGTAGGTTGTAGTAGTCGTATTGATCGTAATGGGTCTCTTCGAAAGAGACGAATCTGTCCATTTCTGTCGCCATTTCGACACGAACCGTTCGGACCATTTTCAACCGAGAGCTTGGAAAACTGTAAACAGGTGATGTCACACAGTGTTTATAAACACCCAATCACGTGACCAGGTTGCACTCAAGCCGGAAGCAGAATGTGGGCAGAGCAAGGCGAAAAAATAACTAGTCTGGCCCATCGTCTGTATGTCAGACATGAGGGTGTATTCTTCTGTTTTACGCTTGAAATAATGAAAGAAAATGTGTTCACCTAATTCCATTAATAATATAAATTATGTATAATAATACATATAGAAACAGTATATCATCTGAATATCAATATAAATTATGTATAATAATACATATAAAAACAGCATATCATCTGAATATCAAATACCCTCACTACACCAAAATGTCCATTTCAAGAATTTTATCATTAAGAAAAAAAAAAAAACATGATCAAAGACAGCGCATACAAGTGGACTCCAAAGGAAAATGATGGCTTTATTGTGCAAAAGGGAGCTTCAGGCAATTCATTGATTTAGTTGTCTGAAGCCTGGTGCAGAATAAACATGTGTTGTATTTCTTTCTTTCTTTTTTAATGTTCAGTAAATGGCAAGATCTATCCACATGTATCACTTGCTCTTAATTGTGTTCTCTTTAATTAAACACACTTCATGAATGTAAACAAACATTCAATGTGTGAACTCATTTAAGTTTTGTTAAGAGTATATTGAGTGTATGTTATATGCATAGGTAAGATGATACGATAAGTTTACATTACAGTACAATACACACAGCGACTAACAATTTGAGTCAGTCAATCAACAATCAAGCTACAGTAAACATACAAACACAAAAATACATAACTGATAAATAGTAATAAAGAATAAATAGAAATAGTACAGTTATAGTCATAGTAGGTCATAGAGTAAAAAGAATAGTATGTCATAAAAATGTCATACATACGTCATACATACATACATACATACATACATACATACATACATACATACATACATATACATACATACATATATAGGTTAGATAGGTAACACAGACAGGACGGTTTGGAGAAAAAGCTAGAGAAGCCAGATTGAGATGGTTTGGACATGTGCAGAGGAGGGACAGTGGATACATTGGTAGACGAATGTTAGAGATGGAGCTACCAGGTAGGAGACAAAGAAAAAGGCCAAAGAGGAGATATATGGATGCAGTGAGGGAGGACATGCAGATAGTTGGAATCAGAGTAGAAGATGCAGAGAACAGGGCATTACGCAAATCAATGATTCGCTGTGGCAACCACTGAAAAAAGGGACAAAGCTGAAAGAAAAAGAAGTCGTCATCTTCTTAGATAGGTTAAGTTGAAGATGATGTTCTTTCATCCACCTGGATAAGTCTGAAAGGCAGGCTGAGACTCGTGCAGAGACTGTGGCATTGTCCGGTGAAAAACAGGTATACAGGTATACATAGATAGCTGTGTCATCAGCGTAGCAGTGGTAGGAAAAGCCATAAGCGCAGATGATTTTACCCTGTGAGGTGGTGTATCTGGAGAAGGGAAGGGGACCCAGCATAGAACCTTGGGGTACCCTGTGGAAAGGCAATTGGATGGAGACAATTGTCTCTGCCAACATACTCTGAAACAGTGGTAATTAATATCTGTCATGCCCTTGAGGACAGAAATGTTTTCACGCCCCGACCCTGACCCCGACCCATACCCACAATACTATAGAGAACCTGATAACATACAGTATATAGCTTTTGCTGCCACCTGGTGACTGAAGGCTTGTTATAATTCAAGCATTACAGCAGTGATGCACTTATGTCCAGTGTGCCATACTCCATTGGAAGCCACTTACACCCCCCCCCCTCCCCCCGCACCTCATTGCACATCATGGTAATTTCATTATTTTCACCAACATTGTTGTCTTTTCACCTGTACATTCAAGGTTTTTTTTTTTTAGGAATCAACAAATATATATATAAAAAATATTAGGTTATATAGCTTCTTTTCAATAATCTGTTTCCAAAAACTTGTGAGAAGTGGCTCAAAAGTGAGTTATCAGTCATTTCTTTGGACTGCTACATTTGGTTTAAAATGAAATAAAACTCGATACTGTAGTGTCTGAGGTACTCAATTAAGGATGGACCCCCTGGTAAAAAAGTTGCACTCACAGCTGTAGACTTATGTAATCTGTCATATTTGCCCCCTTTTAGCTTAAGGCCCCAGGCAGTATCCTGGATTTTTTGTCCGGTTTCTGTGACTCATATAAAGTATATGTTTATTCATGGCCATGACCTTTTTGTTTATTGTATGACTAAATTTAGTAGATTGGGCTGTTAACCATAGAAGTACTGTTATTGCACATGGTGATCGATATTATTTCTATTTTATAAGTTAAGTAAGCAAAGGAGATCACTTGTAATTGTCACCTAACATTCAAGATACATTTTCAATGACAAGTACACAGGGCTATGCTATCTAAAAATCATCCTTTTAATTCTTTAAATCCTTTTAACGTAAGAGACTGTTGTAACTCCTTTAATAAATATAATTCAAACCAAAAGGGGGGGCTAACCCATTATCACTGTAGCCGTCCGCTGACTCAGAGGCCCCGCCCTTAACCCTAACACGTCATGACGTCGGGCTACGTCACCGATGTGTTTCACAGGCGAACTGGCTCTGTGTGTATGCGTGTCTCCAGCTAGGCCAGAGAGTGATGGCGGCGCCCGTCCTGAGAGTGTCCACCCCTCGTTGGGAAAGAATAGCACGGCTTCTCGTTTGCCTGCTGGGCATTCTGCTGTCTGTGTATGCTTTTCATGTTGAAAGGGAAAAGGCTCTGGATTCGAGTTATTCGGCTATGTGCGACATCAGCAGCTCCATCAGCTGTTCTAAAGTGTTCAGCTCCAGGTAATTTGAATTGGGTAGTGAGCACCCATGGTGGCTCAGTGAAGCAGCCTGCAATTGTGGCAGTCAAGGAAGGTCTTCGCGCCTCCAACTGTCAGATGCATACAGCTATGGTCTGGCTGCTCAGTGCTACCGCCGAAGCTCACGGTAGACTCACGACTGGCAGACTGAGGCCGAAAGAAATGTCAGTGAAATAGTTTGTGTAAAACAAGTTTATTCGCACCATTGCATTTAATGAGTAAAACATTTGCTGTGTAGTTAGCCCAGACGATGCTAACTTTGCTAACCGTTAGCTAACGAAATCCATGTCATACTCATTAAGATGTTAGCTTTTAGCCATGTAATTTGAACGTTGGTTGATTCTGTTGTTGTACCTTCTGTCTACATGTGTATAACATTAATAACACAGAGTTGAATACAACAATTGACAGCAGGCTGTTCAGGTTAGTAATGTACAATGGGGTGTGTGTGCTATAATTGGTTGTTTTTGATTTTCCTGAATGGCAACAGTTCTTGTTGATATGCACATTTCTCTACATGATACCCTACTGTTCAACGTTCACGGCACAGCTGTGATATTAAACAGCAAGTGGCCATCGACCAGAGAATAACACTTTTCTGTACAGTTTGTACATGGTGCACATGACACCTGTAAAGTTCAAGTGGTATGACTGAAACAAGTACAGTAGTCCCAGAAATGCACCAGTTCACTATAATTTGTATTATTGTTGAGAAAAATTCATTTGGGACTCAGTTTTGAATCTTTGAGTGGCGATTCAGCACAAAAATATCATGAACAGACAATAAATCCTCAACGGCAAGACAAGGCCAATACAACTGGAATGTCACCTGTTCCAGATTTAATACATGTTTGAGTGATTGAGCAATTCTCAATTGTTGGGCTAGGACATGTATAGTGGTACATGTGAGTAGTAGCAGTGTGTAAAGAGAAGTGTGTACATGTCGTTATTTCATTCTCTTTAAGTTCTTAGCTATCTGACCAACCAGTGGAGTAAAGCTGGGAAAAGATGGGGAAATATAAGAATAAACTGGGAAATAAAATGGGGAAATATGCATGCTAGTTACAATAAGCTCAAAATATTGTACAATTCCAGAATGCAAGACTGATTTACCACTGTACTGAAACAAGTTTAAGATGCTATCAAAGTACAAGCTTTCTCCTGGATTACAAAATAACAAGTAGCTGTCAATTAAAAAAAACCAATACCAAAAAAACCAAAACCAAAAAATACAATAACCTCAACTTGATATTTGACATCAAGAGTTGTTGATTACTCTGCTTTTTTGTTCAACAATAGCAGGGTGAAATAAAAACCCATGCTCAGCCTTTAATGAGTCATTTTCCATTTAGTTCCTGATACCTTGGAAGTTTCAAGGGTATTGCGCTTAAAAACAGACTAGTATTGTGATAGTGAAAAGTACTGATTTATTTCATTCATTCATTTTTAATACACTATTTCTAAGTGTGACACAGCAGACACCTGCGCACACAATGAAATATGACCTTTGCTTTTAACCCACCACCAAAGTGAACAGGAGGCAGCTTAAGCACCCAGGTAGACCCAAGTCCGCCTCCTTAACCACGAGCCACAACCGCCACTACATACCATTTCAGCAAATAGTAATTTTTTTGACAATTCCAAAGAAATGTGATGGGTATTCAGCTGTTTACTTGGGTGTACAAAATAGGTTGTGTTTTAATAGACAGTTATTGTAATTACTGTAATTGACATGTTTTAAACTGATTTTGATCTTGTTTTTTTTTTTTGTTGTTGTTCTCTTCTTAGGTGGGGCCGAGGATTTGGACTCCTTGGCTCAATCTTTGGGAATGACAGTGCTCTGAACCAACCCAACAGTCTCTATGGGATTGTCTTTTATGCCTTACAGCTCCTTTTAGGTAAAGCCTAATTTTAAAACATTTTGTGTCAGATGTGAAAGTGTTTGGTGACAAAATTCTCCCATGTCTATTATAGCAGTTATGGCTTACTCACTTTTCAGTGTTCTGATTCCGATAGCGTGATTCCTGTTAATATCCATGTTTACATTAATTATCTGTTCATTAGAGATGTTAAAATATATAAATATTTTATAATATTGTGTATTTACAGACGCCCCGGTTCACCTCCCTGTAACAAAATTTGGTTTCTTGAAGTTTCTTAAAACACAAATGTAATATAAATCACACAAAATGACACTTTTTTTTTTTTCACTGATCCACGTGATTTCTTTAATTTAACCAAAACAATTTAACCTCTGGAAATGTTTTGACAGAGCAATTTGATACTTGTAGTCATATGAAAATGGGAGGATATTAATGGCTGCAGTTCTGTAAGTAGAACCTCTGTCTATAAATTGTTGGTAAAGGCCTGACCAACAGGCCTCAGCCCCTGTTATCTTGTTGTTCTTTAAATGATACTAAAGAACTAAATAAGGGTCATTCTGTATGAAGATCGTAACATCTGTATGTGCGTGCGTGCGTGCGTGCGTAAGGTTTGTCCTCATGTTACTCTTTTTCCTGACGCAGCCCAAAACCAACAGATTATGGATAAAGTTAATTGCACACTCACATATATATATATACATACAGTATATACATATATACTATAGTTATAAATGTGAGTGTCAGTGGTTGGTTCTCTTCAAATGTGGCCCTGGAATGTATGAAGCTAGAACAAAAGTCTCAAAACAATAGTCCCAAAAAAAAAAAAAAAATACACAAACAAGGATTCACAAATGTATTTAGACAATTCACAAATGTATGCATGTGAAGATATTTGTCAGTTGTCTAACGTGCATTTATAACGTGCTTTGAATTGACCAGATACACAAATGCAGTTTTTTCTACATGGCGCCTGTCAGCAGCCAATCAGATGTCTTGTTCGTTTGCAGCCAATCACATGACTGTATCCCCTACGAGGGGCCTTGTGCAACGTCACCTCACCTTGCCACAGATCCATCTGCCATAACAGAAATGTTGTCATTTTACTTCCGAAATATTACTTAGTAAAGCGTACAACTTTGTATCTTGTACGTCGCTTACATCCAAACGCTTTCCATTGCCACTTCCAGATGCCATTTCTGGAACGGCAGATCCATATCTGTAGCGCGGTGGAGTACAGTCGCGTTATGGGCTGCAAACAAACAAGACATCTGATTGGCTGCTGACAGGCCCCATGTAGAAAAAAAATGCATTTGTGTATCTGATCACCGCTAGACGAGTCTCAAAAATTCACAAACAAATGCAGGGAGATTTACAAATTAAAAGCACGTTATAAACGCCGGTTAGACAATTCACAAATGTATTTTACGAAACGAACAAATTCATTTTATGAAACCACCAAATATCTTCACATGCATACATTTGTGAATTTTCAAAATACATTTGTAAATATTCCAAATACATTTGGGAATCGAATGGAGGGCAGTAATGAGTTCACCCCCAGATGCCGCATTTTATTTTGTCCAAAGTTCTTGCCTACTAAATTCCTGTATGCTCCTGTATTTTGAACAATCCTGCCATTTTGGCCATTGTTCTATTGTTGTCTTTTTTTTTTTCTTTTTTTCTTCGCACATGCTAGCTCTTTAAAAACATGTGGAACTATGCAGGTGATGGATGTATGTTTCGAATGCACAGTGTTGCTTACTTAATGTTGAGCATAAATAAGCGGATAATAATAAGTGGATAATAATTTTAATAACCAATCCAGACCAGCGTTTTTAGCAGTTTACCTTTAAGCTAACCTTTTAGCTGAGGGGGATCCCCATTGATACTTATTTGCCCTTTTTTCTTTTCTGAGACATCAATTTTTAAATGTGATCATGTTTACAAAAAATAATACACGGACCTCTAAATTAATGGTGTATGTGTCTGCCAGTAATGCCGGTGATGTGTCGGATTTGTATGCTCACAGCTAAAGCAAATGGTTTATAGTTTTAAACACGGCAATACTTTTTGAGGAGTCAATTCTATCTATCTATCGGATTCATATATTTATAGTTTAATACACGGTATACTTTTCTGATGGGTGGATTTCTGTTTATCGGATTTGTATACCCATAGCGTCATACATGGTGTACAAGTCTGATAGGTCATTAACCTATCAGATTTTTGTATATATATATATAGTTTAATAGATGGTATGTTAATCTGATTGGTGAATTCTACCTATCAGATTTGTATACCTATACCGATTAAAAAAAAACAAAAAAAAACAAACAAAAAAAAAGAAGTGAAAACCCGCTGTGATAAGTGAACTGCATTCTAGAAGTTTATACATACATCATTTGCTGTACTCACAGTTAAAATGAATGAAAATTATTCATGAAAAATACTTACCTTTTACCGGGCTATACTGATTTTATGGGCGGGGAAGAAGTGAAGACAAATGTGCGGTACACAAAGCATACAATCTAATCTTACGGTAAATACAAATTGGATGGAACACTGGGTTGACATGACGGTCTGTAGACCTCTGTGGCCATGCTGCTGGCACAGAACAAAAAGCTTCTTTTAGCCACAGTAGTTGCCACTCATTTGAATAAAACACAGTTAGGTCAAGAAGGTCAACATTTCCATATTAAACCATTGGCCACTCTAGTTTCATAAATGTTTTCTCTCCTAAAGCTTAGGACCATTGTGAGTTGATACGTTTGGTATGTAAGTATTCTATGTTCTGTCGGTGCATTTCACACTGCGAGAGGTTCGTTGTTTTTGAAAGTATTAAAGAACACTGTATCCAAAAAGCAAATAGACGGCACGTGTTTAAAATCCTCACCTGTATATTGGATTAAACCTAAATCCATTTTAAGTTATGAATGACTCTTTTGATGTGTTCTCTCTTTAAGTTATTAAAAATTTGATTTCAATTTGATTTAAAAAAATGTGTCAATATACAGTGGCTGTAAATTGACAGATCAAGTACTATTACATGCTACCAGTTAGGGCTGGGTGGCATGGCCAATTTCCTAAATCAATTTGATTTAGGGTTAATACGTTTCTGATTCATAAATAATAAAAATGCCCTGAAGTGTTTTTTTTTTTTTACGAAATACAAATGTATTTTATGTTTTTCCCCAAATGAGGATTGATTCAAACGAAACTAGCAGAGATTGTTTCATCGAAATGTATGTTTCAAATATGCAGTAATAAAATGTATTTTATGTTTTTCCCCAAATGTGGATTGATTCAAACAAAAATAGCAGAGATTGTTTCATTGAAATGTATGTTTCAAATATGACATTGCAGGTACGAATACACAAGTACCGCAAAGGTATGGCAGTCAGAAAATACACAAAAAAAACCCAAAATATATTGAACAAATAATATTGCATACTTGGAAAATAAGCGAGAAACGCGGTGGAGCCTCAAGGTATGAGCTCCCCAAAATACGAATTTTCCAGGTTACGAGTAAGCAACTTTTGCAAGATTTTACTTGTGATACAAGGAAACATCTAGTTACGAGTGCTCGCTCTCTCACTTTCTCTCTTTGTCTCTGGCTCTCTTTCTCTTTCTCTTTCTCGCTCTCTCACTTTCTCTCTTTGTCTCTCGCTCTCTCTCTCTTTCTCTTTCTATCTAAATCGAGTCCTCACTCCAAGTCCATCTCCTACCTTAGCGGCTCGACAGTCTGTCGCGCTGTCTCGCTCACTGTCCCTTGCTGGGCTATTTTACTTGTTGCTTTCTCTCTCTCTCTCCCTCTCTCTCTCTCTCTTATCAAATCAGGTCCTCACTCCTAGTCCTCCTACGCTGAGTGGCCACGACGCTGTCTCGCTTGGTTATTTTACCCATTTATTATATCGTTTTATAACAACAATATAAAATGTTTTCCTATTTATTATTATTTGATATTGTCAATATATATCTTTGTTTTTGAAGTTTAGATGGGGTCGGGGTCAATTTAATGAATTTATATATTTCTGGGGGACCGGAACAAATGTATTTGTTTTTAGTTCTTTTTAATGGAGAAATTGCAATTGAGATGAGAGCAGATCGACACACGAGTTAAACTTATATCTCGGGCACGCATTATACAACCTATACCATAAATATACCATATACCATAAATTAATAGAGATAGTGATAGGAATAACATTTTAATTGACTTCAATTACTGTCAATTTATGATAAAAAAAGTGTAAATATGAATTTGCTAATGCGCATTTTTGTTCTTCAAAAAGACTTTATACCATCTGTCAATCTTTGAAAAAATGCCCTTTTGAAAATGTTGATATGAAAATCCTTGGCCGAAACCAAAAACCTGAAAATGAGGAAGCCAAGGCCGAAAACCGACCGAAACAACGAAAGAACTTATGATGCCATTTATTAGTACCGACCTCAACAAAATATTATGGCGCACGTTAATATTTGTTTCAAAGAATAAAACAACTACAAAATTATCAAAATGTTTCTTTAGCACATTCCAACAATGCACAAATGCACAAAATAAAAAATAATAATTCAAAATCGCTGATGTGATGTGGCTGATAAATGCAACTAAATAAAATGATACGACTGGCATTAAAAACGGGCGTGTTCTAAATATAATAATAAAAGGCACCGGTACCAATTGACCCATAAACTGGTGCAGGTCCGCGACCCAGGAGTTGAGAACCCCTGTGCTAAATGTCATCCCAAGGAGGCCACGGTCACGTTAATGGAGGACTTTGTGACCACTGCAGACTCATCAGAAGTTCTCTGGGTTGCAAGATTGCCTCTTGATTTTTTAAAAATTTTTTTAATTTTTTTTTTTTTTTTGTCTTCACTGTCACTTGCCTGAGCCTTTGTTTGTGTTTCTTGTTGTAGGAATGACTGTGAGTGCAATGGCCGCCCTCATTCTCATGACGTCATCCATCTTGTCGGTGGTGGGTTCACTGTACCTGGGTTACATCCTCTACTTTGTCCTAAAGGACCTCTGTGTTATCTGCATCACCACATACGTGCTGAACGTCATTCTCTTTATTCTCAACTACAAGCGACTAGTTTACTTGAATGAAGCCTGGAAGCAGCAGCTCCAGGCCAAGCAGGACTAAACTGTGGGGAAAAACCACGAGAAAAATACAAAAACAACAACTACCACCACCACCACCACAACAACAACCACAACAACAACAACAACAACAACAACAACAAAAAGAAATGACCTCTGAACATTTGACTTGCCACCAGGAGACCTTGCTTCCAAACCATTGTTTATTCAGCTGTGTATTTAAAAAAAAAAAAAAAAAAAAAAAAAAAAACAAAATGAAGAAATTTAACTTAAATGTCGGGGCCTAACATCTCACTGTTGAATGCAAACATAGACAGATTTGTAAGTAAAGGATGATTTTTGTTTTTATTGTCTTTGACCTTGTGTGACATTTTATTCATTAATGAAAGGGGCTGTGTTTGTGTGTGTTATGTTATGTAGGGTAACAGCACAACGACGACGACAACACAGGCAAGCAGAGGGCCACAGTACAAAGCAGTGGTAGACTGCTTTCGTTTGAACAAAAGCGATTACAGCAAAGGGGGAAAAAAAAAACTTGTCAACTTTTTATATGTTGAGAGAGAGATCCCATTGCTGCACCGCAGTTCTGCACTTAAACCTTTAGAATGAGTTCCAAAATTAGTGTCCAAATGTATATTAAAAAAAAAAAAAAAAATACCCCGAACATTTTATGGCTCTTCCAGATAGGTATAGCAGGATGGGCAGAAGAAGCTGAGTAACATTTATACAGAATAGTTTTGTTTTCCTTTCCTTCTACTTTGTAGAACATTTCTTTTTGAAAAGGACCACTAAAAAAATAACGACGGGACATGTGAGATTTGTGTAGATTTTTTTTTTTTTTTTTTTTTTTTTGCAATTCTGTAAATAGCTGCTGAGAAATATTCAAGACTAGATTGTGATTTTGTGTTGACACAGACTTTAAAGGGGAAAATGACCAACCAACCAACCAACCAACCAACCAACCAAATGAACGGTTAAAAAAACTTGGGACAAAAAGCGATGGTCACAGCTCAGTCGGAAGATGTACTTCTGTGAATGTGATTTTGCCACTGACACGAGTCATTGTGACAGGAATTTCACTTCTTCTCACCACCTTTTTTTTCTGCATAAAAAAACACCCTTGTTTTTTTTTTTGGTTTTGTTACGTGAAAAGCATTCCTGTCCACGACATGTGTGGATTCGATAAAGACTTTTGTGCCTAAAGGAATGCTGAGGTATATTACTGTTCTTTTCTAAAAATGTTCTGGGTGGGGTATATACCAGATTTACCAATAATAGGTTCAAGGCTTTATTTCCAATCATACTATCGTACGTAATTTACCATTAAAGTGTGTCGCTATGATTGACCTCTTCAGGTAGCACAGGCTGCTAAACTGTGATCGTCTGCTTACGGACAGAGGGGCCTGGTAGCAGGACCATGTTTTTTTTTAATAATTAATTGCTCTAGTGTCCTCTTTAGTTTTTGTTCACTGTCCAGGCCTGTACACAATTGATATCAATTGAACTGTAGCAGTGATTATGCCATGCTGAGTTACAGTTCTTACAGTCTGCAAAACACTAACTTCATGGAAGGTTCTGTTAAAAAAAAAAAAAAAAAAAAAAAAAAGTCATGTTGAGCAATTTGTGTGATTATATTCCAGCAAGACCAGGGGTAAAGGCTGTTGATTGATTACTGTCAAACTGAAGGTTCATCACGGGTTACCTTAATGTAGCAAGGGATGTTGAGCAATCACAGATTGTCTGCGTTGCTAAAGTGACAGTATCTCTTAGCCTTTGGTAACACACACGGGGCACTCGAGACAATCTTATACAGTCGAAAAATAAACAATGTGACACAGCTGTGATGTGACACCAGCTCGGTGATGTTTTGGCACTCGTGGTAAAGAGTCACTAATACACTTGCTCTATTGGTGTTGGGAAAAGTGCTTGCAGTGATGTGCTTCCTGGGACAAAACATTTAAGTCGGTGTAAATGGGAAAATTAGGGTGTTAGTGTTTCAAGGATACTGTCAAGCTTTGATTTTTACTTTCTGCTCACAGGGGCCCGTTCTCATCTCATCCCTTTTATGGATATCACAGTGTTGACTTAACTGTTTTTTTTTGTTTTTTTTTTTTAAACAGCAGGGGAGTCCAACACACCCCTCCTCTGAATTAACCAACATTCAATCATGCACGGGAGTGCATGACATATTTAATTCCAGACACATAGTTAATGTATTGACTTTAAGAAAATGCTACATGCCTCCTTTACTCAGCTGGGAAGGTGGGTTCTGCCATTCCATAAAGAAATGAATGTGAACCAGTGGCTGTCTGGAAGAAAAAAAACCGTGAACTGATGTGTTAACTTGACGTGTTGTAATTTATACCAATGTGCATCTGATTCCTTTTCATTCAAAACATTGTTTTTTTTTTTGTTTTTTATTGTTCTATTTCTTGTAAACCTAGCACAGAGATTTGTTTAAATCCCCTTTTAATGTCCAGAAGTCACAATGCCATCGTTTACTAGGCTTTTTTTTTTTTTTTTTTTTTTTACTGTAACTACAACTGACGGGTGTAGATTTGGTGGCCAGTCATGTCAAAGGTTCAAATTATGATAAAACAAATATTACACTAAGATGTGCACTGTTACTTTAAAGGAATTTGGATGTCTTACAATGTTTTTCTGATAGGTCAAAAAAAAAAAACAAACAAAAAAAAAAGGTCAATTGTGGATACAGCATTGTCACAAATACTCCCTTAGAACTGCCAGGTTAGTTGTCACCAATGCCAATCAAAGTGCCTTTTGTCTGTTCACTAGGCCACGAGCCAAGGACGAGCAACAGTGACAGCATTGTAAAAGAGAATGGTGACTGTATTAAGCACTTCTGCTTGCCTTCTTTGAGATGTAATCTGGTGAATTGGCAATTTCCCAAAGAGTCAATAGTCCCTATCGGAACACGAATGATAAGAATTTGAATCAATGACCATTTCATTTTTTGCTTCTTCGACTACTGTCACGCACACGTCTCGTCTTTTTCCTCTGTGTAGCTGAAAAAAAAACCATCTGTTCGCTGTAAACACACACCATGTGATTGCCATGTTTCGACGGTTAGTATTGCCCTTTGCTTTCTATAGACTGTTAACATTCTGGGGTTTATTTTAGCTCAGACAAAAGGTTGAGATTTAGAAGGCTAGGAATCTGTGATTAAGCATCAAATGTAAGTGGAAAAATCGAGGAGGAGGACTTATTAGGTTTGCTTCTGTATTGCCAAATGTTTTAAAAATTTGTATTTTCTTACATGGAAAAAGTGTTACATGAGTGGTTGGAGGGTGCTGCAAAAAAAAAAAAAAAAAAAAGGAAATCCGTTCAAATCCATCCTAAGGGAAAACTATGTAAAAGGTTGACATGAGTATGTTTTCTTTTTAATTGTTTCATTGTCACGTGGAGCCGATGTACCATTAAAACATTCCCTCTGAACCTTTTTCTTTACTCTCATCTTCTGATTCCAATAGGTTCCTATGAAAATTAAAACGTTCTGTGGTAAAACGTACACGCACGAACACATGCGTATACACACTATATTACCAAAAGTATTCGCTCGCCCATTCAAATGATCAGAATCAGGTGTCCTAATGTATAAAATCAAGCAAGTCGCCGACTTTCTGCACAGTCAACTGCTACAGAGCTACAAACTTCACGTGACCTTCAGATTAGCCCGAGTACAGTACGCAGAGAGCTTCATGGAATGGACACCATCACCAAGTGCAATGCAAAGCGTCGGATGCGATGGTTGTAAAGCACGCCGCCACTGGCCTCGAGAGCAGTGGAGACGCGTTCTCTGGAGCGATGAATCACACTTTTCCATCTGCCAATCTGATGGACGAGTCTGGGTTTGGAGGT